AAAAAAAAAAAAAAAAAAAAAAAAATCGAATCAAGACGGAAACAATACCGTTGAAGCCCTTCCCGATCAGGTGGCAACCACGTCTTCCTCAGAGATTGCCGCCGACCAACAGATGCAAACCCAGTCTGGATGCCCACAAACCCCATCACTTTATGACGCTTCGCATCGCCACCAATCCCTCCAGTACCAGCACCAAAAACGCCACCAGAATCAGCCGCTTTATCCCAAACGACTTTGACAGTCCTCGGGTCACGATTAGAACAATTATATCTAAGGCGAGGACTGAAAAACGAGGTCAATCCGAAAATGAAGCCAGAAATTCCGATGAGGAAACAAGTAACTAGAAGGAGCACTGAGGATCTGCGAGAGTAGAATGGAGAAGTGGGCGAGTGGCGCGCGTGGAAAAGCTTAGGCGAGGAAGGCATGGCGTAGGGCTAGAGCAACCCAACTGAGCTTCAGATTATATGGAATCGAAATGTAAACGAAGATCGATAATGGATCATTCCGATCGGAAGAAATGGCGCTTTCAGAGACGGAGAGTTTCTGGTTTTTGGTTGCCGGTTGGTGGGGGCCACCGACCTCAGATTTTCTTTCCTTTGCCTTTATCCTTGAGTAAAAATTAAGATAATTTATTTATTTAATAATTTTTTAGTTCATAAATTAAAGTGATAAATTCAATTAAGGTTAATTTAATTAACTTCCTGATTGCATTCAATTATTTACCTTGGAATCTCTAAGCCAAATTAATTACATTAAATTTTGATGGATTTTTTAAAAGAATTTATTTGTCTTTTAACCTATAAAATTATTTTATGTAAATAACTACAATTAAAAAAAAAAATCAAAAAATAAGGTCGCTTTTTGTTTGACTAAAAGTAATGAATAAATTTGCTCGTCTTAATTAACCTCCTGTTTATGACCGACCAATCCTAGTTATTACAATTATGTTGCCACTAATATTCCTAAAATACCCCTAAAAAAAATTAGGCAACTCGTACCGAATTCGACTCCTCTCCAATTTACCTTGTTTCACCCGCTTAATTTTTTTACCACAGTAAATAATAACAGCTTAACTAGTTAAAACATATATTTTTTACTAAAAAAATCAAAAGATTCGAGTTTTCTTTATTTGGGATGGGATCAGATTTCAAGTATTCCCTAACGTTGGAAATTCATGTTCACAGGACAGCTTTGAAAAATGGTCCTGCAAACTCATTTCCTGGACTCCTCTCTCTCTAAAGTTTGATTATTGCCTAAGTTAGTACAAAAGGTTCGACTAATCTCGTCATAGTGGCTACGTGAACTTCGTTATCCCAGCTCTTTCCTTCTGGAAGCTCAACGTCCTGTTCTAACGACTCTTTCGACTCATGGGTCGTGGCTCGAACTTCGTCAGTGCAACAGTTTCCATCAGATTGTAGTGTTGACTGAATGGAAGTATCCATTCTATTAGATTCAACCAAATGCAATGTGGATGAATCAATTGGAGCTGGATTTCCCTTGTGATCGTTCTTCGTCTTTTCATCGTGTTCATGCAAGTCTTGATCTTTTAAACGTATCGTTTCCATTCTAGGACGTGCTTCATCAGGACAGGAGTAAACACATTGTTGTTTTGAATCAGCATCCGAACGAGTTCCTGCTATACGATCCGTTCATATGAAACGATGTTACGTCATTTCGTTCTCTATTTCTTAAGATGAGTTTAGTATAGGGAAGAAGTAACACTTGCCTTGTGTGTTCTCTGAATTTTGAGCACTTACATACAAGGCTTTTTTGAGTAGCACTGTCCCAGGAAACACCATCAGATTGAACCGGTGAAGACTTTGTTTCTCAACATCTTCCACGGGTATGAACCCAAACCCTTCGGTCCATGTCTCCACTAGACTAGGAATTGCAGCTATCACAAGCTTTTTCACCTTAAAGGACAATAGCATCTGGAACGCCCAAAAAAAATAACGATGAACGACACTTCGATAAAAAAATCTACATGGGTTAGCATCTACTAAAACGTGCATCTACATTGGTTAGCATGTACTAAGACCAACCTAAAGGGCGAGAGATGTAGGAACCACCAGTCAGATCGACCCAATAATGATAGGTCATAGATGGAACGGTTAGCACCAGATCTCAAAAATACCCACGAACTTTGGAAAGTAACGTTAATACCTTTACACTTTTAAGCATATTTTAGAAGTTTTTAACAAAGTTTAAGAGTATGTTCAGAAATTTTTAAAAAAGTATTAACGGTTTTCATCCAAAACTAACCAGTTTAAGCATATCTATTGGCAAGACATGGGAAAGTACCTGTTCTATAGCGTTCAGTAGACGCCGACACATTCCCTGGCGACGATATTTACTACAAGTTGCAATGATGGGCATCTCAGCAACTTCTGATCCATGTACCCTGCAACAAGAAAGTTGGAATAAACATAGAACATAGCTACATGTATATTTGTAATGGGTCACAATCAGTAAACGCTCTAGAATATATTATTTCTGTGATGTCCCGCGTTGGTTGGGGAGGAGAACAAACCACTATTTATAAGGGTGTGGAAACCTTCCCCTAGCAGACGCGTTTTAAAACCTTGAGGAGAAGCCCAAAAGGGCTAAGCCTAAAGAGGACAATATCTGCTAGTAGTGGATATGAGTCGTTACAATTTCCAAAAGCAAAATATTCTTCAAGTTCATCAGATGTATAAAACTAACTGATGGTGACAAAGCAATCAAATGTCTTGGCCATCTATCTCTGATATGACTATGGATCGGGAAAAACCATGGAGTCGAACAATCTCTTGAACTTTGACGCCTTTGAATTTAACTTTCCTGTTAGCTCCTAATAAGTTGTAACGACCCATGTTCAAGATTAGGATTAGGATTCGAAATCTAGATTTGACACCTGATGGTCCCGACATTCCCCGAAATCCTCTACAACAGGGTCATATTACTACTTCTTGCTTCAAGAAGCGAAGACTATCCACACAGACCAACATGTGTAAAATCCATGAAAGTCTAGAGAAGAATTCATTTAAGAATTCAATGTGAAAACTTACTACTTCTCGCTAAAATCCATGGTCACATTACTATTTCTCGCTTCTACTTCTCGCATTGAACTCAATGTGAAAACTTCGAAATGCCAAGACAAATAAAATTTAAGGATAAACGCTACGAGAGAAGAATTTTGGATACCTGATAGATGCTACACAGAGCAGCACATCATCTTTCTCTAGTATCACAGTGTAAAATCCATGAAAGTCCAGACGAGGAAAACTCGACCTGCGCAACACGTAAGAAAATAGAGAGTTTATAAGTATAAATGCAGCTGAGAACAATTTAGCAGAAGACAGTTGTGAAGGAACAGGTAAGACAATTTGGAAAACTGAGTTAATTCATGGTGAAGAAGAAAACTACTTAGGATTTTTGTAAAGGAGTAGTGCAAAACAATTTGGCCCGTTACGTATTGCCTTCAGCTTCACGGTTTTTAAACGCGTCGGCTAGGGAAAGGGTTCCACACTCTTATAAAGAATGCTTCGTTCCCCTCTCCAACCGATGTGGGATCTCACAATCTACCCCTTGGGGGTCCAACGTCTTTACTGGCACACCGCCTGGTGTCTAGCTTTGATACCATTTGTAACAGCCCAAGCCCATAGCTAACAGATATTGTCCGCAGTTTCTTAAAAAAAAAAAAAAAAAAAAAAAAACAAATGGAAAAGGTACTAACTCCCAGCTGTACACGAGATGTGGTATCATATCAATTCCTGTTCTTGGATCTACCATGGACAAAAAGCATTCCTCCATTATAGTAAGAGCCACTACTAATCTGGAATTGCATTCTGCCATCATAGCTAAGCGTGGGGTCGATAGAATTTTCTGGTCACTATGAATACATCGAAGAAGCATCCAAGAAAATCCGTCAGCAAACTGATTGATCGACCCAAGTTGAGACTGAAGACCTGTGTAAATCTGCACACATCAGTGAACAACATTATGTAAATATCAGAACCAGCAAGATCGACAATGCATAGTTTCTACTTTAAAAAATACTCGGTATGCCTGCGTTACTTGGTCAGCAACATAAATCATAAAATGTACAAGGTAACTAATGTAAAACATGTTTTTTTTTTTTTTCTTTTTTTGGAGAAACTCGGTGTAATAGCCCAAGCCCACAGCTAGTAGATATTGTCCTCTTTGGACTTTTCCTTTCGGACTTTCCCTCAAGGTTTTAAAACGTGTCTGCTAGGGAGAGGTTTCCACACCCTTATAAGAAATGCTTCATTCCCTCTCCAATTGATGTGGGATCTCACAATTCACCCTCCTTGGGGGCCCAATGTCCTCGTTGGCACACCACTCAGTCTCTCAAGCTGACCGCTAGTAGATATTGTCCTCTTTGGGCTTTCCCTTTTGGACTTCCCCTCAAGGTTTTAAAACGTGTCTGCTAGGGAGAGGTTTCCACACCCTTATAAGCAATGCTTCGTTCCCCTCTCCAACTGATGTGGGATCTCACAATTTACCTTCCTTGGGATCCCACACTGCTCTGTGTCGGGTTCTGATGCCATTTGTAAAAGCCGAAGCCTACTACTAGCAGATATTGTCTTCTTTGAGCTTTCCCTCGAGGTTTTAAAACGCGTCTACTAGGGAGAGGTTTCCACACCCTTATAAGGAATGCTTCGTTCCTCTCTCCATCTCTCCAACCAATGTGGGATCAGGTATTTGAGAATATTTGTTATTTGGGATATCTTCGCCTTTTTTTGAATTCCATCTTCTACCAAATCTAATAAATTTACCACAATAGAAAGAATAGGACAGAAGAATCATACAAAAATACCTTATGGCAACTCTCACTGCAAAACCAAATAAGAGACTCTGCTCCATAATCAATGTCTTTTTCTTTCAGGCATCGCCCATGATCTGTTTAACCAACAATCTATTAGAAGGATGAGATACCCATTTTTAGGAGTTCCCTCACGAGAACTTGAGCAAAAATAGAAAGAATAAACTCTCCTCAAAACGCCAACAATTAGTGCAATAGTCACATATTAGAAACTTAGTTTATCATGGATGAGTTAATAGAGGTACTACTACAAGGAGACCCTTCTATGGTTCTTCTGCCAAGTTATGGTTTTATGTGCTTAAAAGCAATGAGAAGTTCTCAAAGGATCTGTTCTTCTTTGTTCTTTTGCTATGGAACTATTGAGGAAGCTTTTTAAACTTGTGGTTGGCCTCCAGTAATCCAAACCATGTCAAACGTCATTCTTCGGCTCACGAGAATCAGGACAGTTTTCTGATAGGAGGAAAATCCCTTACACAGGTCATGGGATGATATTCTTATCTAGTGGTTTCGAGTTCCAAAAACAGTCATTTATGTAGGATCTATCTACGATTTGTTCCGATTGGGAACGGTTCTGCAATTCCTCTAGTTTTCGTTTGCCTCCTTTAAGCATAATCTCAGCTCTCAAACGTTCAACCGTCCACAGAAATCCAGTAATGTATAATCCTCACAGAAATCAACATGCAAAGATATCTAAAGAAATTAATTTCCACGTCAAATACGATAAGCCGATTAAGCTCACTTTTTATAACAAAATAAATATAAATAATTATAGGGAAGGCATAGGAATTACACTTTTGCTCGCACTGAGAACATTTTAGTGCATCAGAAGAACTCGACGACTCTTTATAATTCACCAGATCACCACATATTCGGCATGTACAGTTTGAGCAATACCAGTTGCCTTCAGGGAGCTCCTAAAGTTCAATAGTTAAGAGGCATTATTTATTTAATCATATCATTTCCCAACACATACATATAAGGTTTAACTCCAAAAGGAAACACTTGAATAATAGTAGTATTGGACATGAGAGAACCAAAAAAAGTTTTAAAAAAACATACTGAATAATAGTAGTAAACAAGTACAGCTAAACACGAGTGGGCGGTAAGGAGACAAGAAAATTCATCATCAAATTACCAAAAAGTGAAGAGACAAACCAGAATTGACAAACAAGAATGATGGAATGTAGAGGGGCAATTATCACAGCATATTAGCTCTCCCCCATCACCACAAATCCCACATGAATCATCATTTCGATCTTCATCGACTTGAACTGTTCTGGTCCTACTTCTCCTTGTCTTATACTCAGTTGACCACGCTTGAAGCTGGCATAACATGAAAGGCTTCCCAGAGTCCAAGTAAAGATTCAAACAAGGACGATTAAATTTGGAACCCGAGTGCCTTTTAAATTCAGTTATTGAGAGTAGCTCACTGCAGCAACTGCAGATGATGCCATCTCCAGTAATTCTACCATATTTAACTACACTATTATCCCGAGAGTTTCGATATTGGATCATGCCATTTGAGGATATAACCCCAGCATCTAGCAACCATGACAAGATTGTTCTAGCCCCAATGGTATACCACTTCCCATCTTTATAATTCTTTTCCCCATTACCCAAGCTTCTTAGGAGTAGCTTACAACTACTCTTTTGCCTTTTGCGGTTCGTTTTTGCTCTCGGCTTTAAGAACTTTCTTACAGGGGAAAATCCAGCAGCACTCGAACGGACATCTTTGTTTCTAATTATGGCTGAAACTAATAGGTCATCATCTTCAATTTGACATTCGTTCAATTTCTTCTTTCTCGTTTTTGAACCTCTAAGACTGTCATAAATCTTTTTGAACTTTGAACCTTTCCTCTCAGAATGGCATGAAATAGGACTGAGATACAAGGACTTCACATCACCGTCCATGTTTTTCGTATCAGCTATATGGGACTTCTGGTATTCTATCATATCCAATTGAGAACAACTCACGTCAATATCGGTCTGAGGTGGCAAGGTAGGATTAATTTCAGATATCTTTTTACACTTTCTACGCCCTTTCTTCTGCAAATTAGAATGTACAGCAGAAACTTTACTCTCTGTTTTGAACTTTGAAGTTGAAACGTGCTGCCCACCTTCTTCTTTATGTGTAAACTTCTGTACGACCCGTGAAGCACAAGAATGAGATAAATCATCGCTTATATAGTTTGGACAGTAATTCAGAGATACTTCCAGATTATTTTGCATCTTATCATTGAATGGGACTTCCACTTTTTTTCCTTCTCCCAGGGAATGCATCAGTGCATTTTTCACCATTTCATTAGGCTTTTCAACTTGATTTTCAGAGCTCTGTTCATCCGAGCTATACAAAGCGCTGTCCTCATAAGGAGATGTAGGGCCAGAAACTGGGATAACATAATCTGAATTTCCAGACAGAACAGGACCACGAGGCGGACATCTTGGTTTGAGTGCACTACAATGACTGACCAAGCAATTCATACCATCCCCTACGTCGGAGACATAATTAGACACCCTTGTCGGAAATTTCATTGTTCCATCTTTTGTATGTCCATAGTAATTAGATAAACTTGTATCACAGGTTTGCTCATCAGAAGCACAATTGCCACCATCGAGATCTTTCAATGCAGCCTCCGTTAATGCACTCTTGGCAGACGGTGAATGATCGTGGAGTGGAGGTGCATTTTTGTCAGCAGATAGGTTACAAATACTATCCTCATTTGTTAATGTCACAAAAGTATCAGTCTTATTGTTCCCAATAACCCTAATATTACGGGTAACTCTAACTAATTCTCCCTTCCTAAGTGTACCAATCTTTCTGTCAATCGAAACAACCTGAACATAGGGATCTAGAATAACCCAACAATGAGCAAGTGACGTTGAAGCTCCTAGTTGATTCATTTCCTTCCCAACCTGTAACAGTGTGTCACAAAGATCAAATAAGAATTGATGAATGCCGGTCCATTCCTTGATGTCAGATTCTTTTACAAAACGACATCTATCAGCAAATAGGAGTTCACCACAAACCCTCCAAGCTTTGGGAAACTCACGAAAGAGCCTTCGCTGGGGTGATCTATAAACGGTTTCTAAATAGCGCCTGCAAGGTCTTTTGCGCCTTTCAATAGACCATCCAGCTGCAATAAGTAAGTGAACAACATGATAGTGGAGAAGAGGACGGGGATCCCTTATCAAATCTGTCTTCAAGGAAGTGTCCAGTTCTGGACATTGAAATTTCGCTTCTCCTACCTCCAAATGTAATGCAGATCCAAACTTCTCGTTGAATGTATCGGAAGGACTTGCTACCAAGAGTCTGGTCATTGAGCTCTCTTCAGAAACAGGCGAAGCACTAACTTTATTCACCATATTGGGTTCATGACCTTCTAAAATCAACGACGTGCATTTGGGTTCATCAGGTTCGCCCAGATCGCTGTCCCTTTCTATAAAATCCTTTAACAGGTAGCAACTTGATACAATACCCTGTCTAGACGATTCTACAACGTGGAATGTAGAAGCAGATTCTCTTATAATTACTGATGAGTTCATAACCTTACCTAGATCGGGTATAGAATCAGAAGGTTCATCAGTTGAAAGTTTTATTCGCTTAGCACTTGCATTCTCATAATTGTCTTCCACTGAAGGGCATTTGCATGGAAAACTATACGGTGCAGAATCGGTCCTAATATTCTCAGTAGCATTGTAGCATTCATCAACCTTTATATTTCTTGAATAAGAATGACTGGACACTGTCGAGAGTTCACTACTTGAACATAAAGATGCATCATTTATCTTCCACGGCTCATGTTTATTACTAAATGCTTTGCAAGGACATCTATTGGAGTGGCTAGAACTATTCCCAAAGAAAACCTCCTTAAAAATAGTGTCTTCATTCGCAGAACCCTCAAAGCCATCATCCTGGAAATCCATACGAATGGACCAAAAACCGTCTTTCGACCCTCACTTATCTACCCTACACATACATTACTTCAGAAGGCAGGACCTGTAGCATGAGAAATCAAACATTACTTTCGAGCATTTAAACAATAAGAACGTTTAACTTAAATCAGATCCAATTTAAAGGACACAAGTCAAATAACAACAGACATTGAATGAACGATAATTGGGTTGCTTTGTTGTTTCTTTTGTTTTTGCATACTTCTTGGTTATATCGTTCTTCTTTCACTCCCTTGCAGAGTTTATTTCCTTGAGCATTAGTCTTTTTTCATTTATTCAATGAAAAATTTGGTTTCTTGTTCAAAAAAACACTATACAAGGGGGGGCGTTTTGAGCGTCCGCTGGTAGAATGTAATTAAATGTGAATGCAATATACGACGAACGCATCTGGGAAGGTACTCGAAAAACTGCAAGAGAAAATGTTTTTATATGCAGATAAAATAGGCATAAAGGATTTCAATGTGCTAAAATATACTCATCTAACGCTTGTGCTGCTGAAGCCTTAAAGAGAAATTTGACATTCCAAACTACTTCAAACTCTGTATGCCATTTTCACTTCGATGAAATAACACAAAGCAAGCGACAAAATCCCGTTGTTACCAGCACTTCCATATTCTATAACAGTTCCATAGATCATCCGTCAATTGCATCATTGATCCAGACAATCCATAATGTTTATCGATGCAAAACGAAAACATTAAAGAATGACTACCGAGATAGAGACATTTCTGCTTTCTTCGTCCATAAATCTTACAAGCGCGTTAAGAAGTGGTGTTTCTACGCTCTCATCTTACTTGTCCAAAGAAAGACTAACTTCTTCCACCACCCCCATTTTTCCTTCACTCGAACCAAAAGCAAAGTCGCAAGACAAGGAAGCGTTGTCGACCCCTTCATAGCCAGCATTCTTAGACACTCCGCATTTCAAATAGAATAGAATAGAATAGAAAACGAGACAGATATGTATCAGCCTCCCATTTCCTAAGTGTCCTAGTGTCAATTTCTCTATTCTGAATCCAAAACTCATAAATCACTGAACAACATTACTATTTTTCCATAAATCTTACAAACGAGAAGAACGCAATAAAAATGTAAAGAATCCTTTCATACCCATTTGCAGAAATCTTCGTTTCCGGCTCAAAACGCATCAAAATCCATCATACATCTCACAGAAACCATATAAGCTTAAATGAACAAAAAACACAACAAACCCACTACAAAAAAACACCTCAGCTAGGCATTACATTCGCCATCAACATGCAAACGGAATCAGGAATCAAGAATCAAGAAGCAAGACATGAATTAGGGCTAAGAGATAACAAAATGGAAATGGGTATTGCACCGTTGTGAAGGAGAATTGAAGCAGCGTTTCCTCTGCCCATCATATCGCCATCAGAGGTACCTTCTTCACGGTTAGTCATAAACCCAAGAAAGCGAGATAACTTTGAGAAACTGAACAGTACCCACCAAGTACAACAAATGGCATGACAAACCCATCTCTACGAGGACTCGCCTTTTCTCTCACCAAACCGTTTCTCTCTCTCTCTCTCTCTCGGCACTCGGGCTTCCCCCCATTTTCGAGTTTTTTTTTTTCTTTTTTTTTTTCTCATCACCCAATGCGTAACCCACCCCACTCTGCCCTGTCCATTTTGGGGGGTTATTTTTAGAAACCCCTCCTCATTTCATTCACAGTGCAACTCATTGGATTGAAGTGGAGGGAGGATCCACAAACAAAACCCATCTCTCAATTTTGTAACTTTGTAATGATTTTACTTGATCGAATGGATAGGCTTTTGGAGACTCCCCATTTTGATTTTCCTTCCTTTTTTGGTTCTTTATTATGTTCATCCAATTAGGTATTATTTCAATAGTGTTGTTTAATTTATACTATTGGAGCATTTGTGGTTGTCACTTCTATTTTTCAATTTTTAAATAATAATAATAAATAACTTGTGGACAAATAACCTTTATTAAACGGTTAACTCGGTTGGATTGATTCAAATTGTTTGTGTAAATGTAACCGTAAGTCAGTCAAATGTTTTGAATCACCAAGCCAACCTCAACATAAAATCAACTGATTAAGACACGTGTCATTGATTAAAAGATTAGAAACTTGAATATTTCATTATGTGTTATCTGTGCATCAAATAATTTCATCAAACTTAATTCATAGGCATTGGCATTCAGACAGTGAGTTCACTTACCATTTTCAGCTTAAATTTGGTATTATTAAGGTTGATTTGGTCGAATATTTCCAAATTAAACTTCATCCATAAAAAAAACTCAAGCTTAGAATATATGTGTTAGCCAACATCATTTAATTATTATAAAAATGTCATAAAAAATACTAAATATTATTAATTTCTCAAAATAAATAAAGATTTGGTGGGCCATTAATATGGCTTTGGCCCACTTTTTACATCGGCCCAAAAGGCCCAAAAAAATGACGACCGGACTGTAAAGATCCACATTTTACCAATCGGCGACTCCGTCGTCACTGTTTAGGAATTTGTAGGATTTTCTTTAGGGTTTACGCTCTCTTCCCTGTGTTCCCTCCCTTCACGTCGTTCTTGACTCGACCATGGACGTCGTTAAGAAGCGAAAGATGGACGAAAACGGCGTCCCTCTTACCGACTCCGACGATTCTTTGTTAAAACTTTCACCGGAAGATGCTCGCAAGATCATCGAACGGTTCACTCCGGATCAACTCATCGACATTCTTCAAGACGCGGTTTCCTGTCATTCGGATGTGCTTGACGCAGTACGTTCTGTTGCTGATCAAGATGTTGCTCAGCGTAAGCTCTTTATTCGTGGGCTTGGTTGGGACACTACGACCGATGGTCTCCGGAAGCTTTTTTCTATATATGGCGAATTGGAAGAGGCCGTCGTTATTCTAGATAAGGCCACGGGGAAGTCGAAAGGGTATGGGTTTGTTACGTTTAAGCATGTTGATGGTGCTCTACTGGCTTTGAAAGAGCCGAGTAAAACGATTGATGGGCGTGTCACTGTGACTCAATTGGCAGCTGCAGGAAATACTGGGTCTAACTCCAACGCCCCCGATGTGTCGATGAGGAAAATTTACGTGGCTAATGTGCCGATTGACATGGCTGCTGATAAATTGCTTGCGCATTTTGTTCTGTACGGGGAGATTGAGGAAGGGCCTTTGGGGTTCGATAAGCAGACGGGGAAGTGTAGGGGTTATGCATTGTTTGTCTACAAGAAGGCGGAGGGTGCACAAGCGGCGTTGGTGGATCCGATTAAGACTATTGAAGGGCGACAAGTAAGCTGTAAATATGCCAATGATGGAAAGAAGGGAAAGCCTGGAGGTTCTGGGCCTGATGGCGTTCAGGGCTCTGTTGGTAATCAAGGTAATGTTCATGGAGATGGGATGGGTATGCCTTCGCAGGCTCCGATGCCTGGTTCAATGGGTGGACAGTATGGGGGACCTGGCGGTCTTGGATCATACGGTGGGTTTTCAGGAGGTCTCCATGGTCCACCACAGCTTGGGCATAATACGCTGAACTCGTCGTTGGGACCAGGCTTGTCTTCTATGGGTAGTCAAACACAAAATTCTCTGAATGGTACTGGTGGGTATGGTGGTGGGCTTGGCGGCGGCCCTTACGGTGGTGGATACGGTGGTCCTGGGTCAACTGGCTTTTCTGGTCTGAGTGCTGGTCCAGCCGGCGGCCAGGGAAGTTCCGGTGCTGGAACGGGATCTGGTTTGTACAGGTTGCCCCCGAATTCTGGGGGAGTTCCTTCTAATGGTTATCCAGATAGTTTGCCATATAGTTTATCGTCTTCGTCTGGTTATCTAAATCAGCACCCACACACCACGGGTACATCACCGGCGCCCCGAGTGCCGCCTGGGGGCATGTACCCTAATGTGCCGCCATTTTATTGAGGTAATTTTCAAGCATGCCGTTTATGTTCTTTATTGTTGCATTGTCCGTTCCTTTTCCATCCGTAATGGCTGTTCGTTTACTATTTGAAGGTCCAAACTGTGTATGTTCACTAACTTGTCTGTTGTATCCCTGGGATTTTATTTCACTTGTCCATTGTAGTTTGTTTCTTTGCTTCTTCTTTTTTTTTTTTTTAATCAAGGGTTTGTGATGTTGCCTCATGCTGGTTAGTGTTAATAGTACCCCATTTTATTGTTCTTGTGTATATGATTTGTTAGCACCTTTAAATTTTGTTTTGTTACTTTGGCGTCATTCAAATTTTATACGTCCTTGTCGCATTAGATTTGTTCCTTGACATCTGATGTTCTAAGTTTTTAGATACTAATATAAAAATGCAGTAGGTCATATTTTTCACGAGACACTTATTTTATTATTTATTTTTTCATAAGAGACAATTTCATTGATGATTGAAATTTACAAAAAGGATGTATTATCCATGGGGTTTACAAAAGACCTTCTCAATTTATAATGAGGGAGGTATAACTATAGGAAGTAAAAATATTTGACAGTTTACACCAAGATATAGCTTGGTAAACAACATTGTCAAAAAGTTTTGTGTAGTTATGTGTCTTTTCTGCAAATATTCTCTAATTTCTTTCTTTCTACCAATTCTAAAAGGAAGCCATGGAGAGGTTTTTCCATAGTAGGGTTTATGCATTCTTGAAAGGGTAGTATGTTAAGGCATATCCAAAAGATCCTTTACCTCCCTAGGATATGTGAGATGTCATCTGAATATATTGAGAATCGGTGTCCAGAAATTATGAGCATATGTGCATTGCATAAACAAATGGCTTTGTGATTCGTTTTCTTTCTTGCATGATGGACACCAATTTGGAGAAAGAGTGATGTAAGATGTTCTTTTTTTAAGATTTTCACTTGTGCTAATGGCTTTATGCACTATTTCCAAAGGTAGAACTTCACCTTTTTAGGTTGATGCCCTTCCCATACTATCTTTGTTAGCCTGGGATTTATTGCTTCTACTTTTTCCGCCATGTCCATCATCAAGGAATTTTTAGAAAAGACCCCGTCAGCGTTGGGGAGCCAAATCAACGAGTCTGCTTCGTTTGACAATACCACAAGGGCAAGGTCAAGGCTTAATTCGCCCATTCTGTTGCCTCATTATCCTTTAAATTCCAACCAAGCTTTCGGTCCCAAAATTTGTTGACAACATTCCACATTTCTTTGATCGTGACTTTTTTGCTATGAGAGAGTCTGTACAGAAGTGGATACCTCAGGGCTAATGTGGTGTTTTCAATCCATGGGTCGGTCCAAAATGATGTGCTTCCTCCATCACCCACCTTATGGCAAGTTCGGTTGGTGATGAGGTTTTGATGTTTCTTTATGTACTTCCAAGGTCCTTTTATAGAAGATGGAGGGGGTGATTTTCATTTGATGTAGGAGTATATTTAGCCTTTATAAGATTTCTCCGCAAGGCCTTTTCTCCATGATGATATCTCCATATCCATTTGTTGGGAGAACTTTGTTCTTCTTCCTTATCGAGAGAAGATCGAGGCCTCCCTTTTGTGTTTGGAGGTTTCTAATATTCCATCAAACAAGGTATGGGCCATCTTTCCACAAGTAGTTTCTGAATAATCCGCGGCCACTTTTTGTGGCATTTCGAATAGAGATGTGTAGTAAGTGGGGAGCTTGGATAATGTGGTTTATATTAGGGTGAGTCTTCCGCCTTTTGAAGTTAACATGATGACCACGTTGACAACCTTCTTTTTATTTTTTCAATAATAATCTTCTAGAAGGAAAAGGATTTGTGGTTTCCTTTTAGAGGTAGTCCTAGGTATATATTTGGCCATTCTCCCTTTTTACAACCATGTATGCTAGCAAATTCTTCAATAATATCTATGCTAATATTGATGTCCATGATCTTTGTTTTTTTGGAGATTGATATTTTGTCCAAAGAATCCTTCTGAAGTTTTTATTGTCTCGATCATGTTTTGTATGGAAGAGGCATTTTCCAAGTTAGAAAATTGTGTTGTCTGCGAATTGAAGGTGGTTGATGCTCAAGCCTTCATTACCAATCTGAAAACCTTATATCTACCCTACCCTTCGTATTCTGCTTTTGTCAATAGGCGACTGTGGCAATCCATTATCATGATGAAGAGAAAAGGGGATAGTGGATCTCCTTGTCTCAAACCCCATGTGGCACAAAAAGGCAGGATGGGATGCATACCTTATATCTACCCTTTGTGGATGGGATGCATCCTTTAATCCACCTTCGCCATTTTGAGCCAAAGCCTTTTGCCACAAGAATGTTTTTGAGGAACATCCAATCAACCTTGTCGAAGGTCTTTTCCATGTCAAGTTTAATTACTACACCTTTTTATTTCTTTCTTTCCCATTCATCAATGAGTTCGTTTGCCATGAGGTATGCATCAAGTATTTGTCGCCCCTCTACAAAAGCTGTTTGTTGCCCAGTTATTGTGAAGGGGAGAACCTTTTTAAGACACTCTGATAATACCCTTGCTATGATTTTATATAAACCGGTCATGAGGTTTATGGGACGAAAGTTTGCAACAGTGCCCTACAACAGTGTGGGCATCCAGTTTCTTTGAGATCAGACATATGTATGTTTCATTCATGAGTATTCCAAGATTTTTGAAAAAATTTTAAGGTAAAACCATCGGCTCCAGGAGATACTTATTTTTCTTTTGTAGTGCTCATGCTATTTTGCCAGGGAGTAGAATTGTGCTTTCTTATTGATCTGCAAAGTTGGTCTCAAAAGTGGTAGATATTCTCTTCAAAATTTCATTTCATCCACCTTTTGGTGTGTGGAAGGCTGGCAATATGCAAGTCCTTCTAGAGACAATGGGTAGAGGGAGATCTTACCTCTTTCCTCTGTTTTTTACGCTTATTCCTTGGCTTCTCTATGTTTCCTGGTCATATATTGTTTTGAGAATTTTCCTTTGCCCAGCGGTACTGTGTTTCTGGCCTTTTCATTTCAATGTTTTGAATGAGTTTTTCCTTCCCAGTGTTGATTCTTTTTTATTTGTCTGGAATTTTATGCTTAGTATAATTATTGACTAGTATATGATGAAAGATAATTCTTTTTTATATGCTTGCGTCACTTTTTAAATGTTATTTCCGCATGCTTATTTTAAAATCCTCACACTCTTGGGTGCATTGATCCCACACGTTTTTTTTGTTCTTTTTTCTTCTCTCATTCGTGCCTTTTTGTCTTGTTTTGATGGCTTTCACTGGGTTTAAGCTTTCCTATTTGAATTTTAATAACTCAATATTATTCTTCTGGGCAAGGTTTACTTCTCAGGGCATAAAGCATAACCTTAAAGAAAACATCTTGCTTTTCTTTCGAAGTTGTCTGTTCCTGTTCCCATCTCTTGTAGAATCCTGTTCTATTTATATGATTTTGGAGCCCCTACGTACCATTGATCTATTTCAGGCATTTTTCTGGTTACCTTTATATTGGCTAATACTTTCCCTTGAACATTAGGAACAATATAGCTTTTAGTTATTCTTCTTGCACCCTTCATTTTTGTCATTCCATATGTACCGGCAATTAATAAATATTTAGTTTCAGATGTTTGTTATTGGTATTAAAGTTATGGCAACAATTTTGATGCCTACTTACCTGATGATTGTATGATTTCATTTGTTAGTTTTTTTTTTTTCAGAAAAGAATTTGATAGCTTTTACCCATGTTTTTGTTTTCTTGCTTCTATTTTTTTTTTTTTTTTTTTCCCTTTTGTAGACCATTAAATTTTAGTCCGTGACGAAGTTTTTACTTCAGGTTGCATCTTCTTTCTTTAATTGATAACAAGTTTGCCTATGGCTGGCAGACAATTATTGATCAACCTTTTGAATTTTGATGTTGGATTTGCAACTTTTAATGATTAGGAAGAAACTTGTATCTTTGTACTCATCATTTTCTGTATGTCAGATGCTATGCCATTTTGTTTTGTTATGTTGACGTTGTTTGTATTATTTTGATCCTGAATTAGACTAGAATTCCCTTTGCATTATGAGGTGGGATGATGAAGCAAGTTCAACCTGGGTATTTGATTCAGTTTATCTTGTTGGATGCAGATGCTTTATGTGCTTCACCTGATTGCGTAGAATGCCGACTATCGATCTGATTTGGTGAATGTATTGGCTTTTGCTTTTTCTAGATGTTTTTGAGTGCTTGTAGAAAGAAATCATTCAATGGTGTTTTTGTACTTGTCTACAATTAATATGCTTTTGGTTTCATCCCCTCCAAAATAGTCTAACAAGTGATCGCTTATTTCTGTGCCCCCCCCCCCCCCCCCCCCCCCCCC